ATAGTTTGAGCTATTGCTCCTGGGGGGGGGGGGCTGTCATGTAAACGAGGCCGGGAAAGAGATGAAATGCAACATAAAGGGAGGGATATACTGAAATGACGTGTACTGGTCACATGTAGTGGAGGGGGAGGAGCTCTGGACCTGATGGTTGGAAACATCCTTCTACGTATTAAGTAGGGTATACAAGGTTACAAATTCGTATGAACGTTGTACACAATTTGGTCATCATAGTGAAGGAAACCACCATGAATGGAAAGACATTTTCTGTTCAAAGCTCTCATCACTGATCCTTCGAGGGGAATACCAATGTCTGAAATGTAATCACAGAGATAATGTTTTCTTTCGCACAGACGCATTGCTACCTCCATGAATACTTTCGATCGGCAATGATCGAAAACCCCAAAAAACCTTTACAATTTTGTTCGTTTGAGGACATTTTTCTAACACGCTCCTTCTGCATTTTCCTTTGGTAGTTTCGTCTGTCGGTTACACCGTATTAATAGATATTCCAATGTCCTGAAAATGACTTTTCCTCATAAAAATTCTAACCCTGTATACCTGACTTCACTAGGAAACCTGTTATTTCCTACATAGGAACGCCATGTACAATGAGCCCTTGCCTTTCACTGGGAGGGGAACGTGGCCACAGACGAGGGAGAGCTGCCCAACCAACACCGCATTAGAAATGCCTTATGGGTATCTGCCGCAAGCAATGGTCCGAGCCCTGAAACCGACCCGCACGTCGAGTGATGTGACTGATCCAGAGACTGGGGGGCCTGCTTCTCATACGGGGGCTCTATGACCTTTAATGAAGCAGGGATGGGATTCCTGTGGAACATTTGGGTCTTATTTAATAACAAACTGCATTGCTACAGGAGCAAGAGCCTGTAAGGATTAGGACAGAGCGGCCCAGCTTTAGGGGTAAGAGTCTGTAAGGTTTAGGACCGAGTAGCCCAGCTATAGGGGCAAGAGCCTGTAAGGATTAAGACAGAGCGGCCCAGCTTCAGGGGCAAGGGCCTGTAAGGTTTAGGACTGAGTGGCCCAGCTATAGGGGCAAGAGCCTGTAAGGATGAGGACCGAGCAGCCCATCATCGGGTCTGCACCGTATGCTATTAAATAAGCTCACAGCTCTATAACACAGTTGGCCAGATAAACTCAGAGTGGCGGTTGCTCAGGAATACAAATGGTCGCCCGTGACATCTTATTTTGGAGCATCGCATGTCAAACTATAATGTTGCAGCACATATAACTTACATGGCGCATAGGAGACTGTGTAATGGTTGCACCATCACCCTCCTGGCGCATTACCGTACACGTCTATTGCCAAACCCATTTTGTAAACCTTTAGGTATTTGGCACAGAGTGTGCGACTTTTTCTGCAAAGTATCACACTTGGGATCCTTTTACAAATGGTGAACTTGTTGCATCTTTCTTTTCAAACCCCTTAAACTATTGGAAAAAAAAGTTTGTGTGCCAAAAATTTGGCGCACTGACAATAGATTATCTGGCCCACTGTATTATAAACACAAAGTTCCCAATTGAAAAGGCAATGCTTTTACCCCCTTGAAGTGGCCTTATCATCATCTCTCATGAAAGATGCCATCTTGACCTTTTATTAAAAGAATCAAGCAACATTTTATATAAAAGTAAAACAAAACATAAAAATGGTACAAAGTCTACAGAAAGCAAAATAAAAACATATACATCCACGTTATATACTGTACATACAGGCAAAAAAAGCCTCATCACCGCACAAATATACCATAATGATACAGATAAATAAACAATTTACATGAAGCAACAGAGAAGGCCTAAGAGGCACAACCCATCACCTATGCATGCAGCTATTTTTCAAATTAAAGAATTGAGAAAAAACTAGGGTGATAAGAGACAGACAACCACACTCCAGAGAAAGACTCCTGCAAGTCAGCAAGGCTTAATACCCTTTCACACCTTCAACCAAGTCACTTGTCTGTCCTCCTGCTCCCGCCGCTGCACTCAGCTGTGTTGAGCAAAGCTGAAGAAGCTTTAGCATCCTGCACACTTCTAGATGAGGAAAATATGGCCACAATTTGGTTCTATGGTTCCTTTTGCTGGCCACTACATTACTGCTGTGTCTTGTGGTGACATAAGGGTTGGCAAAATAAAAAACATGGAGCACAGATGGCAAAGTGGGCATCCTACACTCCTGGACAGATTTAGCAGCAACCTTAGATCTTTAACACAGCAGAGTTTGGTGGAACTGATAGCTGGACAGGTAAGTACTAATTGTTTTCTTTGCAGGGAGAATTTCTATTCTATGCTCATACAAACAAAAGAAAAGCCGGCCACACACCAGATTCAACTGGAATAGTTTATTGAAGCTTGTACCATATCAATGGCCAAAAGAAAAGCTGGCTGCACACCAGATTCCACTGGGACAGTCTATTGAAGCTTGTACCATATCAATGGCCAAAATAAAAGCTGGCTGCACACCAGATTCCACTGGAATAGACCTTCCTGCAGACCAGTGGTGTCTCAAGAGGGGTGTGGAGGATGCGGCCCGCACCTGGGTGACACCATTGGAGGGGTAACACCAAAATGACTGACAGTTTCAGGAGAGAGGAGGAGACCCGGCGGCATACCTTATCCTGCCGGTTGAACCTCCCCTCCTCTCTCTGATGGCGTTCATCACCAAGATGGCCACCGGCAGTTATCAATAAGATGACCACGCATGTGTGATGATGTCATCGCATACACGCGTGGTGAAGTTATGTGCATGCTCAATGACATCACGGCAGGGTGTCACCCGGTATCCGCTCTGGGTGACACCCTGCCCTGGGACGCCCCTGCTGCAGACCTTCCCTTCCAAGGTCTGCCTCGTCTAGAGGAGGTGGACCTTGGACGGGACACCAGTGATGTGGTATAAGCTTCAATAAACTATTCCAGCAGAATCCGGTGTGCGGACAGCTTTGCTTCTGTTTGTATGGGCCCATATTGGAGAGAGGATGTGCTTCCATTGGCAAGCACCTGGCCCATCCTTCCCTGAGCTGCGGAGAAGCGGTGTTTCTCTTGTGTGTTCTCCTTCTATTCTATGCTTTTTAAAAATAGCAACACAGTAACTTTAAGGGCATAAATTCATACACATAAAGTTAATATGAAGCTACACATTGTTCTGACAATCTTTTTATGTGTCTGGATACAGTAATATATTTTACCTTTCAAAATGAAGCTAAAATGATGAAACAAATGTTTTTTTTCTTTCTGTAGGTTGACAATATGAATAATTGTACAAGTAGTACTCGGAAAGATTTTATTATTTTAGGATTTGCCACTTTTCCAAATGGACAAATCTTGTTGTTTGTTGTGCTTTCATTCATGTATTTGCTGACAGTTGTGGGAAATTTGACAATTGTCACCCTTGTCTGTATGGTGTCGCAACTTCACACGCCAATGTACTTCTTTTTGTGTAATCTTTCTTCCTCAGATATTGTGTTTGTCACAGTTACTCTTCCAAAGCTGCTGTCCATTTTTTTGACCCAAGACCATACCATCACATTCGATGGATGTATTACACAACTGTATTTTTTTCTAATATGTGGACAAGCTGAAATATTCATCCTGACTTGTATGGCCTACGACCGCTATGTGGCAATATGTAAGCCCTTACAGTATTCCCTAATTATGAACAAAGTAGTGTGCTTTGTAATGGCTGCCTTTTCCTGGCTTACAGGTATCTTAAATTCATTGCTGCATGCCTTGATTGCATCATCCTTACCATTCTGTTACTCCCTTGAAATTGATCACTTCTTCTGTGACCTTAAAACACTGGGCATGCTATCCGCTAGTGAATCTAAAAACCGGGACATTCTGACATCCGTGCAGAGTGTATTTATTGGATGTGTGCCTTTTCTGCTTATTGTAGTCTCCTATGTGTACATCATTTCTACAATACTGAAGATCCAATCTTCAAATGGACGACTAAAAGCTTTCTCAAGCTGTACCTCACACCTTACTACTGTAGTGTTATTCTATGGGCCAATCATCTTCTTGTACATGAAACCAGAGAACGACCGTTCTAGAGAAGACGACAAGCTGCTCTCCATACTGTATGTGGTCGTGGTGCCAATGTTGAATCCATTTGTTTATAGCTTGAGAAACAAAGATATATTAGGTGCAATTGCTAAAATAAAACAATACTTAAAGAAAGTGTAGGTGCAAATGAAGAATAATACCATGAAGTTAAATACTGCATGAGCTCTGTATATCTAAAGGATCTCTGCTCTGTTAACAAACTTTTCTCTTTTCCAATGGTCACCACTTCTAATGGGTCCTCCAGAACTCCCGTGGGCCTCCCCTACTCTGAAACTGCATCACTTGTTATCAGACATGAATCATCTTTCTAGGTTATCAAGAGACTCTGTCATGTGGATCAAAAATTAAAACAGATGCAGCCACGTAGCCTCCCAAAACCTCCTGTCATAGCTAAATACAAGTGATTCTGATAGGAAAGACTATGCCACTTCTGAGTAATACATCCCAAGCCCTCCTGCCATAGCTGAATGTCATGCTGCCTTGATGGTACATTTGTGCTAGACAGTGAGGCTGCCCATCGTAGTGAAGGACCAACAACAATGTGTGATGGTGAATCTTATAATCAAATTTGACTGTAATCCACCATCACAGATTCTTACTGGTCCTTCTCTATGAAGGGCAGCCTCACTGTATTGTAGGAATATGCCATCAGAGCAGCCTGACATTCAGCAGGGGGGCTTGGGATGTTGCTATAGGTATGTACAGGGACCTCTAGTTGATTGCACTTTATCCCTGCAGCGGTTTTTGTTCCCTATGATAGAGGTCTCTTTAAATGCGCCTTTATAACCTATTTTATCAGAAAAATATGACATACAGCGTCTATTTCCTGTCTCCAACTTTTCACTAAGGGGGTTATTCACTATTGAGCTGAAGGATACAGCCGTAGCTTCGGCTGCATCCTTCAGCTCTCTTCGGCCACCGGAGCCCTTCGGTTCAGTCAAACCGAAGGGCTGCTGTACAAGCTATTCACAATAGCTCGTACAGCAGCGGAAGGCAGTCGAACAGCTCAGCCGAGCCAGAGGCATATGCTTCGGCTTGACTGAGCCGAAGTGACAGCCGAAGCAGGGAGAACGGCCGGGCAAAGACTTGCTCCGCCCAGTTGTAATGACAGATCAGTGTCCCCAAATGACCTGGGGATGCTGATCTGTCATTGAACATTAACAACTGGGCCGAGCCGGCCGTGACGTCATGGCTGGCTCCGCCCAGTTGTTATTCATTGGCCGGGACATGCTAGAAGACTCTAGCAGGTGCTGGCCAATAGGAAACAGTTGGGTGGAGCTAGCTGTCACTGCTAGCTCTGCCCAATTGTTATTTCTTTTATTATTATTTTTTCCCCTTCTTTAAAATATTTTTATTTAATTTTTACTTTTACTATTTAAGATTATTTGAAAAAAAAATGTCAACCTTTTTTTTTTTTACACTCTTCACTTATTTTCTATTCTACTCGGTACCACGGAGGTACTGAGCAGAATAGCCGAGTGAGCTGCTGAAGCTTCGGCTCAGCTGATCCAGATGTTGGACCGGCTGATTCAAGTCCCTCTGCACTTCGGCTCAGCCGAAGATGCAGAGCATGTTCAGCTGACCGAAGGCAGCCGCACTGAGCCGATGTACGGCTGAAATCAGCTGTACAAGCCAGAAGTGAATAGATGAACAACGTTCGGCTCACTTCACTTTGGCTGGGTTATTCACTCTGCGGCAGCTTTGTGAATAACCCTCTAAGTCAGAGGTAGCAAACCTCCGGCCCTCCAGCTGTGGTGAAACTACAAATCCCATGATGCATCTCTCTTCGGGAGTCATATCTGTGGCTGTGAGAATCTTGGAATGCCTCATGAGATTTGTAGTTCCACCACAGCTGGAGGGCCGGAGGTTTGCTACCCTTGCTCTAAGTGTTGTAGTGTATCACCTGCACTCCATACGGTGATTTAGAGCTTTCTCTCTTCAAATAGCAGTGCTCAAAGTGATGACACAGATGACACTATGGATGAACGGAAACACCAGCACTCACAGGATGCAAATAATGCATGATTTGTCACTATGTCGCCCTGAGCAAGGGACCCTGGGTGGCCCCTGTTGGTTTGATCGATGCATGTGACGCATTTTCAATAAAAAAACGCGCATCCTGAGTGTTGTTGATTTCTTTCATCTACAGTCTAATTTTCACTGACTTTATTATTATTATTATTTATCTACGACACTGGTATTGTTGCCAAATTTTCATTACCAATGGTATCAAATCTTTTTTTAGGCTGTAAGCTCTTTTGTGCAGGTTTTCCTTACCTATTGTTTGATGCATTAGTCTTTGTTATCAATAAATTAATTTGTACAATTCTGTAGAAAATGTTGGCTCTAGAAAAATCAATAATAAAAACTGTAATAAGAATGTATAAAGATCAGCAATGCCCATTGTGACAGAAAGCAAGGAATGGTTATAAATGGGAAGGTATGTAAGGCCAAGCCTTTTAGATTGCATCGCTCTTTTCAGTTAAAAACCCCAGAGAAAGTGTGTATGATTTAGATGTGCAATTTATAAATTGTGTTCTGGGTCCCTCTATGTGTAGCAGACTAGGTGAGCTTGAAGATTGAAGCCGGCATGTATACGTTTGTTGCTGAAAAGGACATTATTTTGGAAACCGAGTGAGTGAGTACCGAGTGAGTACCGGAAAGTACTGACTAATGTTATGAAGTTTTGTGTTTTGCTGCAAAGAATGGACTGCATTTCATGAATGCAGAAATACTTGTTTACTGTGTGCCGTGGAAAATAAAGCTTTTTTTCATCTGGAAAGGCACCATCAATGCTGAAAGATTTATCCAGGTTTTAGAGCAGCATATCCTCCCATCCAGACAACAACTTTTTCAGGGAAGGCCTTCTATATGTTAGCAGGACAATGCTAAATCGCATACTGCATCTATGAAAACAACATGGCTTTGTACTAGAAGAGTCTGGGTGCTTAACTGGCCTGCTTTCAGTCCAGACCTTCCACTAATTGGCACATGTTGAAACGAAAACTACAACAAAGACCACCCAGGACTGTTGAGCATTTAGAATCCGATATCAGGTAAGAATGGGACAACATTCCTCTCCCAAAGCTCCAGCAACTGGTCTCCTCAGGTCCCAGATGTTTACAGAGTGTTGTTGTAAGAAGAGTGGATTCTACACCGTGGTGAACATGGCCCTGTCCCAACTTTTTTGAGACATGTTGCTGTCATCAATTTCAAAATTAGCTTATTATTTTCTTAAAATGTTACATATTCTCAGTTTAAACTTTTTATATGTTTTCTACTGTGAATAAAACATGAGTTTATGAGATTTGCAAATCATTGCATTCTGTTTTTTGCACAGTGTCCCAACTTTCTTGGAATTGCGTTTGTAGAGCAACATAGCTGATTATTAAATCTTCGCCAATTCAGCTCACTTTCCAGTTCAGCTATGTTGTCCTAGATCAGGGGTAGCAAACCACCGGCCCTCCAGCTATGGTGGAACTACAAATCCCATGAGGCATTGCCAGATTCTCACAGCCACAGACATGACTCCCGATGAGAGATGCATCATGGGATTTGTAGTTTCACCACAGCTGGAGGGCCGGAGGTTTGCTACCCCTGTCCTAGATTGTTCACTTCTCCTGCCTTCTCCAAACTCTTCACCCTTTTGTGAATAACCCTGTTATGTCTTCATTTTACATTGGTGGTCAGTGAGGGAAATATCCCTTTCATTTGTACAGTCTGCCCACTGATTACTAATTAAAGGGGCATTCTTGCCACTGATGTAAGAGGCATGCCTACTTCTACTTACTACCAATTTAAGGGGACATTCAGAAATCCCCCTTACATTCGGGATCAGTAATTGAAAGAATGTCCCCTACGCAGGTGGTCAGTGGGACAAATTTTAATTCTTTCCACTATCACCAGTGAACGGGGCATTTTTGCTCCTACTAAATATAAATGTAAGGGGTATTCTTTCTTTCTTTCACTGAACACCATTATTTAGGGTAATTATAAATGTCCCCAACATTGACCAAATGACTATCAGTGAGAAAAATGCAGCGATAACCCTAGTAAGAACCAGCTTGTGGTTTATTTCTTGTAGTCAAATAATTTCATTTGAATTACATTAAATATGGGATTCATAATTTTGGGCACGGAGATTGGAGTGTATGCAATTATTTGTGATGATATTTAGGGATTAAATTCAGAATTCACTTTAGCCTAAGATATTCACAAATATTCAGTCAAACGTTTTAGCACAACCCCCACTTTTCCAGTTGTTAATTGAAATGTAAGCAAATCAAGCAGGGGCGTAACTAGAAATCACAGGGCCCCATAGCAACATTTTATATGGAGCCTTGTGATTTCTAGTTGCAGCCCTTGCAGAGCCCACTTGAGATCCCACACAGCCCACCTGAAGGTGACCCTGCAGAGCCCACCATAGACTCTCCAAGGTGGGCTCTGCAGGGTCTCAGGTGGGCTGGTCACACTCCTTACCTGTCCGCCTCTTATTCCTCTACGGTCACTGATGGGCCCTGCCTCCTCCATCACCGGTCCAGCCTCCTCCTCCATCGCCCAGCCCCACCTCCTCCTCTGCTGCCGACCCTGGCCCTGCCTCTTCCTGCACTGCCGGGTTCAGCCTCCTCCACCGCCGCTGCTGGCTCTCACTGACTCAGCAGCGGCTGTGGAGAGGAATGCACCGCTGCGCAGATCACTTTCAGTGTTCTGAACAGCGGCGTGTTCCTCTTCACAGCCTCCAGTGACAGCCGGCAGCATGAGATTCCATAGCGACCCAGGCGGCCTGCACAGTATCTGGGATGTCCTGGCCGGGCCCCCCTGTGCCCCAGGCCCCATAGCGGCCGCCTGGGTAGCTATGGCGATTGTTGCGCCACTGAGTTCAAGGCCAGTGAATAACCTGAAATGTACAAAGTTAAGCGGTAAACTGTCAGGTGGAAAAAAAGGTGAAAACAGAAGTTTAGCGCAACAAACAAAAAAAATAATTTACATTTCAGAGAGTTATACAAAAAGGCCTTTTTCAGGGAAGTCATGGGTTAACAACTCACAGTCGTTCTGCAGCAATGTAAGTAAATTAAGCCTTGAAAGTTAATACAATCCCTACATGTATCCCAACTTTTGTT